CTCGTTATAAGTGGGTTGGAAGAGGCTCCACCTCAGATGCGACCATCGGAGAAGCAGCGTTATCTAGAGGATAAAGTAAGTGATCTGCTGGACACCCTCAAAGTCGAATGCCGTCCAGTGGAACTCTATCGATTGGGTACGCCGAGTGGTCGACCTAGGCTTGTTCAAGTTTGGCCTCCCAGCGCCAAGGTTGGGAAACCTGTAACGTTGCATGAAGGGTCTGCAGATACGTCCATTAAAATGTTTTCTCCTCAATGCCCGCAGTATTACCAAAAAATTAGTTCATCTACATGCTTTTTTATCTGAAATGAAGCCTGACATCCTCGTAATAACAGAAACTTGGTTGACCCCGCATATTCTTGACTCTGAATTGACTGGTGGTTTCCCTTACTTCCTGTATCGGAAGGACCGTACCCAGAGAAAAGGTGGAGTCTGTTGCATAGTGAGGTCTTTTCTCAAGCTGCACGGAAGTGAAGTTGAACACCAACATTGCCCCAGACATACTCTGCTGTGATTTTGTTACGCATGGGGCCGCCTCTCCTCTGAGGATTATCTCGGTCTATCGTCCTCCAAACACTACGCCAGCCGATGACTCTACATTACTGGATCATCTCCTTGATCTTAGCTCAGTCTGCAACGACACTATTCTGCTAGGCGACTTCAACCTTAACATAGAGTGGGAGTATAAACAACCAGTAAACCATACCTCTGCCAAATTTCTTGATTTTTTCAGTAGCTGCAACCTCACGCAGTACGTAACGCAGCCCACACACGGCCGCAACATTCTCGATATCATACTATGCTCATCACAGATTATTGCTAATGTGAAGGTATTACCACCCCTCTCTTCTTCTGACCATGGGATTGTCTCGTTCGAAATTCTCATGAAACATCGTAGCGCTGACTCCGCGATCACTTTACCTCTCCCTGTCCCGAATTTCAGTAGTGTAAACTATAAAGCATTGAACACTTACTTTCTTAGTGTGGATTGGCTCACCTTGTTTGACAACTTCACATCAGCTAGTGATGTCTACAAAAGATTTTGTGAGCAATTATACATGGCCTTCTCTCATTTTGTTGAGTTCAAAACTCCTCAAACGATGCGAACGGCATATCCAATACATATAAGGAACTTAGTCGCTCAGAAAGAAAGATTATTTCTATCTCTTAACCGTCCATTGGAAAATACCCTCTACAGAAAAGTGTGTCGAGACCTTGACGGTCATGTAAAGAAGCTTCTTATCAATCGTGAGCATCGTCTTACAAGAGGGTCAAATTTGAAAAGGCTTTTCCACTATATTAGACAGAAAACAAGAAATAATTCAGGGTTACCTACCTTGCTTGATACTTCGGGCAAGAAATACATTTCAGATATGCAGAAAGCCTAGAATATTAGGCGAATATTTTGCTTCCGTATTTTCCAGCAGTGGCTCTGAGCAGAACGTACCTGATGTTAAGGGTATCCCACATATAGAAAGTAGACTTTCGGGGGTCTTCTTTCACCCAGAGGATGTCCGAAAGATGCTGGAACGCATAGAACCTTCCACGTCAGAAACATACGATGGAATCCCCCAGATAGTCTATAAAAAGTGTGCTTCATCCTTATGCCAGCCATTAACGCATATTTTCAACATTTCTATGATTCTTGGTGAGGTGCCGGATTTGTGGAAAGAAGCCTTGGTCACGGCCATACCTAAATCTCCTAAGGCTGCAAACATCTCCGATTTTCGACCGATAAGCATTACGCCTGCCCAAGTAAGCTAATGGAGAGACTAATCAGAGACAAGATACTGGGCTGGCTTGAGAAGTTCAACATGATTCCAAAAGAACAGCATGGTTTCTTGAGTGGGGCCTCCACGGTATCCAATTTATTAGATAGCTTGTTTGACTGGCAATCCGCTCTGAACAATGGAAAATCCGTGGACATTGTCTTCGTTGACTTATCAAAAGCATTTGATAGGGTCTGCCACCGCAGGTTGCTAGTCAAATTGCAGCATCTGGGGATTTCTGGGCAGCTTCTAGATTGGCTGAGATCTTTTCTAAATCAACGATACATGACCGTCAAGGTTCGTCACAGCTTCTCTGACAGACACCACTGTCAAAGTGGTGTCCCTCAGGGAAGCGTTTTATCGCCGTTGCTTTTTTAGTATATACATTGGACCTCCCTGCTTACATTACTACTTCCCCCGAGGTGAAGGTGCAGATGTATGCTGATGACATAAAAATATATGCCGCATACGATACTACCAACAAGAGTGAAGTTCAAGCAGCATTTAGGCTATCCCTAGCGAAAATGTCGGAGTGGGCTGCCTTTGGGGCTTGACGATCAACTTAAACAAGTGTTCCCTTTTGCACTTGGGGGATAACGTTTCGCCGAGGTATGAAATCAATGGGGCTTTTCTGGAAGGCTGCAGTAAGCTCAAAGATCTTGGAGTTTTGTTACAGAATGACTTGAAATTTTCCTTACAGATTGAGCAGGTGGTTAAAAAAGCATTCGCTGCGCTTTTCCTAATCTTTCGAAACATTCAACTTGAAAGAACCCAAAACGCTGGTCCGACTGTATAATGCATACGTCTTACCACACGTAAACTACTGTTCTCAAATTTGGAATCCCTTCTGAAGAGAGATATAGCCAAGGTGGAAAAGGTACAGCAGACTTTTACAAGACTGGTGTACCTTAGAGTTTACCCGAAAACAAAACCGAATAGCGTGCCAAAGTACGAGGAGCGTCTAAAATGGTTAGGACTATTGAGCCTCAAAGACAGGAGGTTACTCAATGACCTCACACTTTGTTTTCGGATCCTCAGAAGAGAAACGAGGCTAAAACCTAGCAAATACTGGGTTTTTAGACCCTGTAGTGAAAGATCAGGGAGCTTTGGCTTGAGCTACGTGAAAATTCAAAAGAGATTCTATTCGATTATGTTTAACTCCTATTTTTATCGTATGGCCAGGATGCTGGACAAGCTGCCTCCCGAGTTGCTCAGATCGGAAAACGGTAAGGTGTTTAAGAACAGATTGCGGAAGATCTGTATTACGGACTCACTTCACTCCTTATTCTAAATGGAACCAATTCAGATGCCAAAAGACGGGGATGTTTTTCGGGTGAGGTCAACGGCAATTGGTTGGTACAAAGAATACTTCCTGTTGCGATCGTTTAATGCTTTTACGTTCCACATTTGTTGCTAACTCCATGTTAATGGTGTTGTAGAGCTCTCTGCGGATGGCATTTTTTTTACTATTTTGTTTCATTTGTCTTATCCACGCTGTACGCCATATGGTGCCGGCTTCGATTCATAGGGGTGTTCGCCGCGATTACGTCCACATTTGATTTCCTTTTCCCGTATGCTTGTGCTCGATATTTTTTTCGAGGCAGGCAAGCCCTTTTAAATCTTTCTATTTCCGCTTCTATCCACCATGTCAGTTCCACGAGGGCCGTTGGTATACCCGTGTGCCGAAGTGCTGGCATGTTCCCTATGACTTCCGCTGGAACGAGGGCGCCATAGCCAACTGGTGTGGATGGTTGCTCAAGTCTTGAGAAGTCTTGCTTGCATGCACTGCTACATTTTGACACAAGCCACGGGTAAGGACCCTATTTCATTATTAACTCTTTGCTCCCTATGAACCTGGCCTACATCATCTCGGCTTTTATCGTTGAGTATTGGTTTGTTCTTGGCACACTCATACAGTGTATATTAAATAAATAAAAATAAATAAATATGAAAACACTCCCGCATCGCGATTATGTGTTTCAGTGACTTCTTTAGCATAATCCCACTCATTGGAGGAGTCCGCCGTTCTGTACGATGACGCTACTACTAGCGATTCAATGCCTAGTCGAGATGAACTCCAGCTCTTCTGAAGTTCTTGTGCAGCATGACGAGAGTGCGTTGTTTGATGCATCCTATGAAGCACTTCGAGCTGGACAGCAGTTCAC